TGTGTGTGTGTGTGTGTGTGCGTGTGTGTGTGTGTGTGTGTGTGTGTGTGTGTGTGTGTGTGTGTGTGTGTGTGTGTGTGTGTGTGTGTGTGTGTGTGTGTGTGTGTGTGTGTGTGTGTGTGTGTGTGTGTGTGTTTCGTTGGCTGTCTTGTTTCAAGCGATGTGGCCCTTGCAGCATCAATTACGTAGATGCAAGCTTCACCGTGTTTACTCAAACGTGTGAAAAGCTTATTCGTAATATCAGACAGTGGTAACATCAGGGTGACCAGTGAATTTCCATTTTGAAATTCCCGGTTTTTTCCCGGTTTTCCCAGTTCAAATCTTTAAAAATTCCCGGTTTTTAATATTCAACAAAAACGAAATTTAACCCAAGGAAGGAATTAACTGAAAGGATAAAAATAAGTGATTTAAGAAGATTCCCAAGATTCTGGGGCTTTAAAATTTGTGTAGTCTGAAACCAGAACTTTTTTTTTTCAAAATTTGTGATTGATTACAATCTTTGTGATGCAAGATTTGGAGTAAGATAATTAAAATGTGAGATTTTGAAATTTTTCATGATCACAGTGTTGAAAAAATATCACACTTATGAGTCGTGGATTCATAACTGTCACGCTCTGAGACTTGGAAGCATTTCAGGGGTTATAACAAATTACATAACAATCTATAGAATCTAACGGACAAAACCTGGCATTTTTAGTAAACTATAAAAGATTAACAAATATTGAGAAGGATTCCCACACAGTTTTCGAAGGAGAAGTTCTGAGTAGATTTCCATAATTATTCTGACATGAAATCCTTAGAAATTGTTAGATGAATTTGAAAGGATTTCTGTGGAGAAGAATGCAAGTTCTAAATTAAATTGTTAGGAATTTTAGAAGATTTGAAAAAGGAGTTGTGAAAAACAAAATTTTGCGGAAAATTCCTACGTGATTCTGAGGCGATTTGTATGGGGAACGCGAGGAAAATGACAGATAAATTTTAAGAAGAATTCCAAGAGAATTATGATCAGAATTTAACAAGAAACAGAGTGCTTAGAGTGTTTTGGCAATAATTTCAACCCTAGTGCGAAAGATTCATTACAGAACTCCAACAAAATTGATTGCAAAAAATTTCTTTAAAATACTCCAAGGAGTTTCTAAATAAAATTTCGAAAAATTTCTGCTGTTTTAAATAGAGTTAAAAGAAATTTTTGAAAAGTTTTTCAAAGGAATCAAAGTCGATAGGCTCAAGGGAATACTAAGAAGGATTCCAATTAAATTCTTAGAAGCGGTGGCAAGGAAATTCCAAAAAGAATTCAACTGTAATTATTACGCGGAGTGTTTTCTGGTTTATTTCAGAACAATTTCAAGATAATTCAGAGCAGAATTCCAAGTTAATTCTGGAATTTATATCATGAGAATTTTGAACAACGAAAAATTAAAACCCCGGAATAGAATAATTCAGTTTCGGTTCTTACAAATATTTGTTTCCAAAGTCCTGCATCTTCAATATTTTCTTTTAAGGACCATGCACTTTATATCTGAAATTGAGAAGACAAAAATCAATTTGCAATATTGCTGAGTGATAAAATTCTAAAAACAATCAGGGTTATTCTGCGTGGCGAATGAGGTGAGACGACAATTGTCACCTCGCAGTCACATGACTCTTCTCACTCTATTCCGACAGTCGACTCGGGTGACGTGAGAGGTTCATTCTTAGGTTAGTTGCAAAGTGACTCGGTGTTCATTCGCCGAAATGTCAGTTTGCTTTGTTTTTCGAAAAGGGCCTACACAGTTTTTGTAGGTTCATTTATCAGTTTAATCGCGGGTTTTTATTTTTTACTATAAACATGCGTTTCGAGTCGTATTCCATGTCAAACAAGGTAGATTAAAATATTTTAATTGTTTCTTAAACATAATCCACGTTCACATGTTCGAAATCATGCATAAAAATATCATTAAAATGAATTGAAAATGTTCGGTCTGTGCTAGACCCTTTCAATTTTTGCTGTTTGTTGTTTTCGATTGCGAGCGAAGATTTTTTTCCGATCGAGTTTTTTTTTAATTATTAATACACTGGAACCTCCATTTACGAACCAAACCGGCGCGGCGGTTCGTAAATCGAACCAGACGTAACAAAAACTCATTACGTGGGATTTATTTCATAACAAAGTTTTATGAAAATATTATCAAATACCCCACAATATGGGTATTTTTGGTATCGGGGTGACGTGCACGGACCGGACATCGATGTCTGGGGCCGTTTTGAAATTTAAGATGGCGACTTCCGGTTAGGGAAATACTACCAAATCATTGTGGGTATTTTTTAAAATCTTGGTGACGTGTAGGGACCGGAAAACCATGTCTGAAGCCTTTTTCAAGTTCAAGATGGCGGCTTCCGGGTGGAGAAAAACCTTGGGAATTCTGTGAAAAACATCTCAATGTGGGTATTTTTGGAATCTTGGCGACGTGTAGGGACCGGAAATCGATATACGAGGCTGTTTTGAAATTCAAGATGGCGGCTTCCGGCTAGAGAAAAACTAGAAAATTCTGTCAATTGGTATTTTTAGAGTCGGGGTGACGTGTATGGATCGGACATCGATGTCTGAGGCCATTTTAAAATTCAATATGGGGTGACCATAGCGCATTTTATGAAAACGTCACAAGTTTTTATTGCTATTTTAAATCAATAATTACGAAGAAACCATAAAGCCTACAACGTTACAACCAAAGGCACAAATCTAGGGAATTGCATGGAGAATGTTTTGTAGAACAACTAAATAAACAGAAATGAAAATTTTCAACTTAAAAACACTAAAATGTATCCTGATGATTGTGGGCGTCTTAGTGGAATACCTGTATAATGAGAGAGAGAAGGATTAGTATTTTCCATTTAATTCCACTACTTTATTTGCTTATCCTTGACAGATACGCGTATTTCGTCTACAATGTGCAGACTTCTTCAGTGTCTTGTACTAATACTCGACTAGTCGACACTGAAGAAGTCTGCACATTGTAGACGAAATACGCGTATCTGTCAAGGATAAGCAAATAAAGTAGTGGAATTAAATGGAAAATACTAATCCTTCTCTCTCTCATTATACTAATGTAATGTAATGTATGTAATTTCACCAGTTTTTTTTTTTGGTACTTTCCACATACTTTTCAATTTTAATGTATGATAATTAACTTTAATCGAGTTCTTTTTCAAAGAACATCGATAGCTAAGACTTAAATCTTTCATTTGGTATGTTGAAATCCGAAAACCACATAAAGATTAAAAAAATATAGCTAACCAAAGTTGGCAATACAAAAAAATAAAATGTTGAATAACTCACTTAGCAGTCATTTCCGACCCTATGTTTCATGGGGATTTTTTCATAAATTTAGAAGCTCTATCTACCCTGAAAATATGTAAAACTCGGAACCAAACACCCTGTATAAGAGATTTCGCGTATTGAGAAAATAATATAGTAATCGAGTACAACAAACTCAGGGGAATACAATACCTCCAAAAGTTTAAAAAGCTATTAATTGTCACATACCTCTACTTTTACTTATTTCCTAATCTATTCCTCTCCTTGTTAATCTGCTTAATGCTATTGGTTTGCCTGCGTTTTCTTTTTAAAGTTCAAGACTAAATAAGAAGATTTATTCTACAACTTTAAAGGTTAGTTGCCTCCCTAAGCGGACCCCCCGCATCCTAATTCTTTTGTTAATCTACTTAATGTCATTAGGCTTTCTGAAGTTTCTTATTTAAGTTCATTTGATGATTATGATATCTCATTAGTCTAATTTAATAAATTATTGAAATCTCTAATTCACCTAATCAATCATAACCCATGCTTTTTTAAGTACCTGCACTTGTGCTTGTAATCTAAAACTAAACGTGTTTCAATTACTTTTGATTTTGACCTATACCTATTTATTATAACTTAGTTCGACCCAGGTGACACCTTCAAGTGACGAAAATGCTTCATTTTGAATTAAGTTTCCTAGCTGATTTTAAATTATTTAGAGTATATGATCCAACTACGCTCACACGTTTCCACTATGTCGTCCCACAAAATTACGTATGGATATATCACAATAGAAGCACGCCACAGTGGAAATCCCGAGCCATAGTTCAAACATTTATCCCAAATAAAAATGAAGCACAAATAAGATTAGTTACAATACCATGTACCAAAATGATGTTTAACATTGTTTCCTGAATAATACTTCAACGAAAACAACAATGAAAGCTTGTCACGCAAATAAAAGGAGCACTGTTGGGCGTTTTCTGAAATATTTCAATAGTATAATTCCCTTGCAAACCCAAATAAATCTATTTGCGTAAAAAATAAAATAAGAGTGATTTGCGGCAAAACCCGCCAGTATCACACCCAACATCACTGCCTTACGTATGCGTACTACGACGCGGCTCTCAATTAAAGGAGTAACTATCACTGCTAGACTAGATCTTTGATTCTCTCTTGCAGTGGTTTATCAGAGAGGGGAAGCCTAGTAATTCCCATTGCCTGTCCATGACGTCATTCTATCGCGGCATGAACCAGTAAGGCCGACCATAAACCTACCGTCTCCAACACTCCACTAGCATGAAATTAAGCCCGCCCACCAACAGCAAGGTGCAAAAACAAGCCAAGGGGAGGGAATACAAAACCACTGCGCATCTTCATACAATAAACCTCGTGGACAGCAACATCTCTCAGTGTGGCAACGGTTACGATGACATAATAATGATAATGACGCCGCCAGAGAGCGACTTTTGCTTATCCTCGAGGCCCACTATCAGTGCTGACATAGAAATAATTGAATTTTGTTACAAACAATTTGAACATGGAGACGAGACGTCTCTGCTTTATGCTACATAATTCTACAACCCGTTGATTAAGTAATTATTCGACACACATGCTAAGCTATGTTTACTTGCGGATTTGAAGTCTTCTTTGGGCAGGATATAGAGCATTGAGATATGTAATGTAGAGTTAACTGTAGCTTCCTATTTTTCTTTCTTTTTAGGAATCGTCGAGGACTGGGATGATCCTAGGCTGTTTACATTGACTGCATTACGCCGTCGTGGTTTCCCATCGGAAGCTATCAACAACTTCTGTGCACAAATGGGCGTTACTGCTGCTCAGAGCTCCGTTGATCCTTCAGCTTTAGAGGCAAGCGTTCGTGATATGCTCAATGTTACTGCTCCACGGGCTCTGGTCGTACTAGAGCCGCTTAAGGTCACGATTTCTAACTTCCCACACAAAGAACCGTTGAAAATGTCCGTTCTTAACTTTCCCAACAATCCAGAGAAGGGATCCCATAACATTTGGTTTGACAGAGTGTTATATATTGAACGGTCGGATTTTGAGGAATATCCGTTGAAGGGATACCGCCGTTTAACGCCAACGCAATCGGTGGGCTTACGGTACGCAGGGTTTGTTATAAAAGTGGAAGAAGTGATCAAAAACCAAAATGGGACTTTAAAGGAATTGATCTGTGTTTGTGACAGCAGTGAGGCAACCGAGAAACCACAAGCCTTTATACAATGGGTATCACAACCTACCGAGATTGAAGTACGCTTGTACGAAAAACTATTCAAACACAAAAACCCTGAAGACGTCAATGAGGTACCGGGAGGATTTTTGAATGATTGCAATCTGGACTCAATGAAAATCATTGCCGCTTACGCAGATGCATCTATTAAAAATGTTACGCCATACGACAAATATCAATTTGAAAGAATCGGTTACTTTTCAGTGGATCCAGATACACGTGAAGGGCTTGTTGTGTTTAATAGAACAGTAACATTGAAGGAAGATGCCGGAAAAAAATTTAAAAAAAACTTTATTTCTTGTAGTGACCTTTAATAATAAATTAATTGTCTTTCGTACATAAACAACACAACATTTGTATTATGCTTTTATAATCTGTTAAAGAAGTCCGCAAGGTAGTATGCTGTATTCACCGAAGTCAAAGTCAGATCGTCACTTTTTTTCTGTCAATGCAATAAGCGATAGTAGCGTCATGAATTCCATATGTTATGAGAATAGTTGTCATTTTTTATTAAGAAAATCATCGCTATAAACTGGCTTTACGTAATACATACACTACCCGCCATAAATTTGGACTCGAATAGAAAAGTATTGCAACACTCATTTGAATATTGCATTACCCCCCTCCAAATGTAACATTCATTACCTAAAAAAAGCAGGAAAACGTGCTGAATACGCTTGGGGAAGATAGAATTTTCGTCTTTGCAAGTTGAACAATCACAAGAAAAAAATCAATTAGGAATATTTACTTTTTTAAATCGGAATCACTTCAGAAATGTTTGGAAACACTTCGGAAAGTATTGAATCACTTCAAGTAATTCTAAAAGAACTAAATCACTTCAGAAATGATAGAAATCACTCCTAGAATAACTGAATTATTCCCAATTTGTTCGGAATCACTTTGGAAGGAACTGAACTACTTTAAAATCATGTGGTAATGAAATTGGGTTGTTAACGGAATGCTTAAATAAAACAGAAAAAAAGGTTATCTTCCATTTAATTCCACTTAATACATTTTGGTATCCATGACAAATACGTATTTCGACTACAATGTGCAGTCTTCATCAGTGTCATTCCCACTTAAGAACTTATCAAAATCTAACCCCCTTAAGTACTCATCTCCTAGGTAAAAAAGTCGAGATCACAGGTATAAAAATGAAACTACAATGTGTTGAATCGTGACCTACCTAACTAATAAAAACCAAAAATTTAAGTAAACTAAAGGAGAAAAATCTATACAACTCTCTAATAAGGAAAATCCCAAAGGCTTGGTAGCCATCATAGAGATTAAACGTCAAAAAGGTCTATGGGCAAAAACAGCGCAGGATGCACGCTATTTCCAAACAACCCAAATTTGAGTAGGATATCCACCAAAATTGAGTAAACAAAGTTGGGACTGACAAGATGGCGAATGAACAACATCGACCTAAATCCGAATGTTAATTTGTTATCTTGTCAGTTACAATCTAGTTTGCTCTATATTGTTTTACCCTACTTCTAATGGAAATGAGTAGATCTTACTGAAAATTGGATTGTAAATAGAAATAGAAATAACGTGCGCAGACAGGTGGAAAATCTCGCTGGACATGGCCAACAAGATCAACCCAAATTTGATTTTACTTTACTCATAAATCGCAAAAAGTGGAGGAATTCAGAAAAATTTACTTCATGTTTTTCCAGTTTTTTCGCGCTTTATCAAGGAAAAAATGCCAGAATATGATAACACTAACGATTGGATTTTTTCGGTCTATTGGTACTAACTACTAGACTGTAAAATTTTCGTAAATTGTCCTCATTTTCCAGCAGATTATTGAGGCTTTTATTTAGGTTGATCTCATCGGTCGTGCACAAATTTGAAGGGACAACATCTGACTGGTCTTATAGAGCTTCTCGACGTCTAATTGGCGCACACTACTGTACCATTTAAATCCAACAAGTGCGAGCAAGAGGGAAACAGATTAGCGGGAAAATACACCGTCGATTCATACATGTGTGATAGATAGAGAAAGACGATTAAGCATCGAAAAGGTCTATTAGAATACTCAGGGTAGGATGGTTCAAAACGCACCCCTGGGGTAAAATGGCCCTGCGCTGTTTTTCATAGCTTTCCGATTGTCAATTCGTGAATTTAACAATCAGCATTGCTAGTTCAGTGCTGTAACTAACATTCTGGCACATGATATTTCCAGAATTAGTAATGGATAAACAACGAAAAACTGCACGGGGCTATTTTACCCCAGGGGTGCATTATGGGCTACTCTCCCCTACATTCCACGATTGCGCAAGATTTCTTCTTCTGATGCTAACGCCCAAACTAAACATAAAGCCTTCTCCTGACTTAAAAAAGAGGGGTTAACCGACATGCACCATATTCGCTGCTGAGATGAAATTGGGAATCGATTGGGTTCTATAGATTGAGAATGTTTTATACAGGTGAGGTAGCTTGTGAGTGTGACTATCGGGCGCAGATGGAAAGACGTGTGAAAATCGATTCTAATACCTATGTTACGCTAGTAACAAAGGTAATAAGGAATCCAGTTTACAGATTTTTCGGTAATGTGATCTTAACATTTTTACCTCGATTGGAACAACTTTTTTCAGTTTAGTGGAGACTATGTTCATACTTTTACTATTACGGAGATGAAAAACTACCCAAAATTTAGTACTTTTCCCTCAATTCCTGGGTTCAGCCCAATAACCCAAAATTTGAGTAAATCGCATATAGTAGTTTCCATTTAACACCACCAAAAACAAATTACCTACTCTTAAGTATATGCTACCCAAAATTAACATTGGAGGCGAACCAGCCTCAGGCTGAAAGCCTCCTAAATAAAGATAAATCAATCAACCAAAAATTAAGGTTAATTCACGTACATTTGAGAATATGCAATTTACTCAAAAGTAATCACCTTCCGATCAAAATAGTTTTCGATGTTACTTAAGTCACCCGATTTTTATGGATATGCCGTTTGCCTTAAGTAACAGCACTGAGAAACCCGTGAAAAGTGTACGTTCGTCGTTTCGCTTTCTCATTATTAAAGTGAATAACTCGAACTGTTTGTTGCTAAGATGATTTCGGTGGTCCTAAAATGATGAATGGGCTGCACGTAAGGAGACGTAATTGATAATTCTCCCGAATATCCTGGTAAATACACTTTGACTTAAGTAACAATGGGGGCCACCAAACGACGTATAACCATAGAGGTAACTCTAAGACCACTGGGTCCCGAAGAAAATCATTATTATTTTTGGCTCACTCAGTACCAGAACAACGGTCCCAAGCAGTCCCAAGCTTTTCACTCAGCCCTGCATGTTCTGCATGAATCCACACACCCCTGATGTTATCTGTCAAACTTTCATAGCGAATCAAAACAAACATAGTGTAGTAATAGAATTTCAACTAGAATAGGGTACGTTAATCGTTTGCTTGGGACCAATAGGCTACTAAAGTGGTGAGCCAATTTAAAATCGTTAGTTTCGTATTGATTGTTGGTATAACCATGTATAACCAACAATCAATACGAAACTAACGAAATTGGCTCACTACTTAACTAGCCTATTGGTCCCAAGCAAACGATTAACGTACCCTATTCTAGTCGAAATTCTAGTACTACACAATGTTTGTTTTGATTCGCTATGAAAGTTTCACAGATAAAATTAGGGGTTAGTAGATTTTCCTATGTTTCGAGGGGTGAATCGATTAGCTTGGGACCGAAGATAGTACCAGAGCTGAGCCAAAAAGTTGAGCAGTTTTCTTCGGGACCTACTAGTCTTAGAGTTACCTCTATGGTATAACAACTTTTGGCTCAAAAACCAGTATTTTTTAGCATGAAAGCTAGCGATTTGCATTTGTATGATTAAAACCCTGCTAAATATGTTAAACAATTGCTATCACTATGTGTTTAATTGGAAATAGGAATAACTTTTCGGTCATCAAAACAAAACTTTATTTTTCTCGGATGGGTACGAATTTTACTTACGACATAATGAAAATTTACTCTTGAATAACTTATTACCAGTTCGCGATATATTCCACATACAATTGACCGATAACACAAAACCACTAATGGACTATATGCGCATCTTCATACTAGAAATACTCTAAGAGGAAGAGGTGACAATTGGCTTCTTCCTCTTTTATTTCTATCTCTATCTCTATCTCTATCTTACGCACATGAAATCGGCCAATCAGGAGCTGGTTCACGTTTGACAGAAAAGTGGTTCATTTTCGCCCCCGTATTGTCACCCCTAATAAACGGGTACCATATACCGACGATATCTTAGATGGTGAGACCATACCACATAAATTTGGGATGATAACCCGAATTGGTGGTTAGGCGCATCTTATGGTTATTGTTTATGCGGGACCTCTTCTCTTAGGAAATACTCAGAGGGAGAGATAGGCGGAGAAAACAAAATACAATTCGGCAGCAGGGATTTGTTCCTAAATTATCTTGCAACCCTTGCTAGAAGCTAGTATTTTAAATGACTTTTATTTTTGATTCGATGTACGTGCAAAATAATAATTGATTGCATCGCAATATTTTGCACATTTCTTGTTGCCATTCATTAACCAACAAAGATTAATTAATCAATAGAGTTAGAATATTGTTTTTGGTTGAATTTGAGAAGCACACAAAACATAAAGGTGATTGAATTTCTGTTCGATTGCAATACTCTCAAATTTATTCTAGTGGAAATAAGAAATCCTCGGAAAAACTCTAATTGGAATGTTCGATTGGTTCAGATTTTCACAGTTCATTTGGCTCAAAACATTCTCTCCGCCCATCTCTCCCTCTGAGTATTTCTAGTGATAATGACGCCGCCAGAGAGCGACTTTTGATTACCCTCGAGGCCCAAGGAAGGCAACCTATCAGTGCTGACATAGAAATAAGTGAATTTTATTACAAACAATTTGAACATGGAGACGAGACACAAACACAAAAACCCTGAAGACGTCAATGAGGTACCGGGAGAATTTTTGAATGACTGCAATCTGGACTCAATGAAAATCATTGCCGCTTACGCAGATGCATCTATTAAAAATGTTACGCCATCCGACAAACATCAATTTGAAAGAATCGGTTACTTTTCAGTCGATCCAGATACACGTGAAGGGTTTTTTTGTGTTTAACCGTTATGTGATCGACAAAAAAAACACCTTAAACAGCTCGACAAGGGTACCCGGGTACCCACAAATTGAAATACTTGCTACTGTGGCCTATTGGGACCGATTCTGAATCTTTTGGCACCAATGGATTCAGAAACTTATCTTCTTTCTGGACATTGCCAACAATGTCCATCCAGAATAGTCTGGTTCCCGGAAATCCGGAT